TTTTTTTGTTCTGTTTCATTCTCATTCTTTTAATGGTTAGCTTTTAGTCTCCTGCATCTCCCTTTAATTGAGATGAAGCCTGAACTTCAGCAGTTCCATATGAGAGGAAAGTACTGGAAAACTTAGAACAGATTTGTGCCAATACTGAATATTTATCTTTTTTAAAATAGATAGTAAGTAGGAAGTAAATTATACTTCCTTTGAGCCTAGAAAATATCTTAATGCTTGGGTTAAGTGCATTTTCTTTCTATACACGTGGAAAGTAAATAATGGCCTAAAAAGTGAATACTGTCATGCAGATTGAATCTATTACTTAAGTGTAGTGCTACTACAGCTGTAGGAGGTGGGATGAAAGTTGCATTTTAGTTCTTTTCTAAAGTTGTTCATCCTACATCTTGTTTGGAAGGGGAAATGGATTATTTCTCACTTTTTTTAGTAGTTAAATTTTATTGCTGTTCTTCAAAAAAATTGTATTTTGTTTTTTCTAGTTAGAATTTTATTATTCGATGAATTGAGTTGAATTTAATTTTGCATGGGAAATGAACAGCAGCAACTGTTTTTTATTTGTACAGCATCTAGCACTGTTGTGTCCACTGTTACTGTTGTTGAGGACCATCGTGACACAAGTAGCTAATAATTACTCTGCTTACAGCCCTTATGTTTTCAAAACACTTCACAAAGTACTTCATCACAGTGTCTCTTCTGTATCTCTTTTTATGGATATGGAAGTAATGGCACAAATCTTACATTGTCTGATGCAAAGCTAGAGCCAAAACATGGATATCCTGGATCTTAAGTTTGGGAAGAAGACTGCTTACATGGCTGGGATACCAGTGTGAGACAAGGGGTGCACTGACGGTAGATCATACCTTGCAGAAAACAAGGAGATACAGAAGAAAATCTGTGTAAATGTGCACAGTATCTAGTGAGTAGGTCTAATTAATGACAAATTATACATGGGAATTTACTTTTGGCAGTATTTCATGAACAAACTTACAAAGTGTTCTCTTTGAATGTAAAATGTGGGTCCTGCTTTCCTCTAGGACTGAGTCTAGTCTGTTTTTCTGTTGTGTTTGAGGTGCAGTTTCACACTGCAGAGACTGCATAGGAGGAGAGGAAGGGGGAGTGGTTGTATTTATTATTTTAAGGGCATGTGGCATTCAGATTTGCTCAATCAGTGAATACAGAGTTATCTCTTCTGGCTCTCGGTGCTTTGAGCTTGCCCTTTGGTTTGGAGGGGACTCGCTACAGATTCTTCCATTTTTATGCAGCAGCCATCACTGGCAATGAAAGTAAACCTGCCAACCTATTAAATATTTGTCAACAACTGTATGCAGGTATCAGCAGTAGAATCTTTTAGTGTCATTCAGTTACTTCAAATAATTTGAAATATAAGTTTGTGTGAAATTCAGCATTTTCTGCTGTACTTGACAAAGTGCCGTGTATTTAAGTAAGTGCTGCACCCAAGTTCTCTCTGTAACAAAATACAGTAAAAATGTACTATTTGTCTACCCTGGCCATATAACAGATTTCTTAGCTTCTGTATACCCCGAGGGGAAGGCTTCTGTTGGACAGAGTACTAATAGTTGGACCTGTGTCTGAGTAAATCAGGTGTAGGTAGAACTTTGTGGGATTTTACTTAGTCTTGTCCTTACCCTGACTGCCACACAGACGTTCCTTATGGTGATACTTCAGAGCAGAGCATCTGGGGGTGCCTGCTTGGGACCTGTAGTGCAATTTCTAGCTGTTTATGAACTGAGGTTCATCTGTTTCTTTGGGCAGAAGGAGTTCTGAGCATCTCTTAATCTGACTCTCAAAGGTTATAGGAGTAGCAGAGCTAAGAGAGTGGGACATGCATCAAGAGGAGTAAATTGAGTTCAGGCTCTTTTGCGTGACATCGTGGAGCCATCTGTATGATAAAAGCATAAAATAATCTGCGCCGATAAGAGCATTAAAATGGGCAGTTATCTAAAAGTACAGTTCTATTTTGGAAAGTGGTAATCTAAAAATGTCAATTTTGAATCCAGCAGATCTATTCCTGTGAGTATTAAAATATTACTTGCTAAATTTAGTGACAAAAAGTACTGTTTAAAGTATTGGAAAATTATATGATTTTTTTCTACTGTATCATCTATGAAACAGTCTATTACGTTTCCATTGTTTATACCCATTTGAAATTCTGTCACTTAGAAATTTTTAAGAGAGTTCTATGAATAATTATTTCCCTGGCCATTCCTTTGTCTTGATATTGATCCATTTAAAATAGACAAATCTTTTCCTCTGAGGAAATCAAATAGAAAATACTGTTAATATAATAATAATATAATAATTAATATAATAATAACATAAATACTGAAATAAAAGAATTATTTTTTTTAAGCTTTTTCTGAACTTTTAGAATCTTATTGGCAATGCAGTCAGGTGAAATATTGTGACTAATTTGAATATTAAGTGCATCCTTTCAATGCAACCAAATCAAGTATATATTTATTGTAAATAAGCAAGTTCTTTTTGTACAAAACCCCTAATTCTCTCTACCTCTGGTCAGAATTTGGTAGAATTACTTTCTCCAAAATGATGCAGTTCTATCACATTTTAAATATTTTTACAAAATTTCATTCTGTGAATTTCACAAGGGAAATTAGGATAAGAGTACTCTGAAAGCAAAGTAATTTGCTGTAAATGTTTTAAATCTAATTTCAAATATTTAATTTGTATTCCAATTTTTCATATCCAATTTCTTAAACTCTCCTTCTGTGATTTTTTTTTTCCTAAGTATTTCTAATACTTGACTTTTTTTTTTTCAATTAAGAATTAACGAAATTCCTAACTTTTAAGTCCTTCCTGAATCATTATTATTTTTGTCTTTGGTAGGACTCTTACTGACAAACAGCTTTTTTTTTTTTTTTTTTTTTTTTTTTTAAATCCCAGTGATGAGTTTTAATTTTAAGAACAAGTTTTGCACCACTATTTTTAAGCAAAAATAAAACTGGTTTTTAGAATGTTTGGATGGAAAAATTTCTTGTCCTTGCCTGAGACTTGTAAGCACTTTGTGTTTAAAGAGCTTGGCTTTTAGACTGAAGCTAAAAGCAGGCTATTACTGGAGACCTCTCAAAATGTAAAACATTATTGTTTTGCTGTTAAAGTTTGTAAAGAGGAAAGGGAGAAATGGGCATTGGTCCTGAGAAAAAAGGCCAGAAAGCTGTTGTAATGTCAGAAGGCGGATATTTAAAAGGTAGAGACTATATGTGCTTGTCACTCAGGGACTTGCATATCCAGTTCTAAAATACAGTTATCGTGTTATACTTTTTTGTGTTTTTCCCTTTGCTTTTCCTCTCCATACTGAGTGTTCAGAAGTACCTACTTCTTCCCTCCCCTAGAAATTAAGGCCTTATGCCTTCTGTGTCATATTCCCCCAACTGGCATCAAGGCTTTGCTCCACTGTTTACAAAATGAAGCAGGGTATGGAATGAATGGGAAATGGAACTTAACTTTTACTTTGTGAAGGAAGACTTGAAAAGTTTGGCATAGATAATCAAGAAAAGAATAGATCAATTGGTCTCTTCTAGGTCCCTGCAAATATCTCTGATTTAAAGGAAGGCTGCTTTTTTTTCTTTTTGTTCTTCCTTTTTACTGCCCTCCCCCTGGTTGTATTAGATCTTGTCCAAATACTTCATAGAAATTGGTAGTGTGTTTCCACGTAACAAATTACATCTGTCTCTGAAAATGAGTCAATGTAATCATGACAAATTCATGAAATAAAGGCGAAATACATTGCTGCAGTCCTGGGCAACATGAGTCAATATGCTTTATGCAATTATTTAATAAAACATCTCTTCTAGTGCATTGAACCAGCCTAAGATACTGAAGCAGTTGTATTTATGCAGGAATAAACAAACTTCCAGTAAAAGCTGGTGACCAGAAGTATGCAATTATCCATTTCCAGAAATACTCATTAAACCAGTCTGCTTAAATTTTAATCAGACTTCTATGTATGAAACAATATTGATAAGAGGGAGTAGGAAAAAAAAAGAAAAAGTATTTTTATGAAAGGCTATTCAGATCTTCTCGTGCCCCAAATGCCTTTGGATTTTTTTTATTTAACAACTTCTGCATGGAATTGCAAATCTATCGAAAAGTTAACAATACAAAATCCTGCATGCTAGCTTAATTCTGTTTTATGGGAGCTGTATTAGTATCAGCACAGAAATACTACGTGGATAACAAAGCTGTCATAAAAAGAATGTGATGTGGGGATTAGACAGTGAGATATTTCAAATAGTTAAGCTTTGTGTAGTCCATGTGAGAAGTGTCAGAGGACGGATTATCAGTGTTTGAATTCTTATATGAAAGTAAAGTCATAGAAATGTGCTGTTACACTGAAAAATTGCAAATCGCCAGGTACTTCCAGTATTTTTTGGCCTTCCTCATTTATCTTCCTGCTATGTCTGAGCTCAATACTGCAAACCATGTTACATCTGAGACATGAGAGGACGTGTGTTGCCCGGGATCATAAGGAAGTCAGGAATAGCCATAAGAGGTTCATGACTCCAGATGCTGCAGTGAATTCAATAGGTGTCTGGTTATGTTCCTCTCAACGTTAGATTTGTATAGGTTAATGGTCAGTGACTCCCACGTTTATTTTCAGTCAGCCTAAAGTAGCATCAGGATGCTCAGGGATGGTCTACTTGCACACCTGGATGTGCAATAACTAGCCTGTCATTTGAAGCCTTTACAAATGTATTTGTAGACCTATTCAAATAATCTGAAAGGAGAGTTCAGAGAGCAACCCACAAAATGTTAGTGGATGAAGACAAGAGTGCATATATCCATCCCTGAAAAGGGTCACTAACCTTTTCATGTTTCACAACCTCTCTTTTCAGGTGTTATCTGATGACCATTTATTTGTTATGGATCACCTTGTGTCTTTGGAAACCACAGTTATGAATATTGTTGCTTTAATATTAAATTCTAATGGTCGCTGTGCTTTATCTTTCTAGGGCATCAGTAGCCTCTTCAGTTCACTTAAAGTGGTCAGGCTACTTCGGCTGGGTCGCGTAGCTCGAAAGTTGGACCACTACATTGAATACGGAGCAGCAGTCTTGGTTCTGCTGGTGTGTGTGTTTGGTCTTGCAGCACACTGGTTGGCCTGCATTTGGTACAGCATAGGAGACTATGAAGTTATCGATGAGGATACAAACACGATCCGAACTGAGAGCTGGCTCTATCAGCTGGGGATGTCAATAGGAACACCTTACCGCTTTAACACATCAGGCTTTGGAAAATGGGAAGGCGGACCAAGCAAAGATTCGGTCTACATCTCCTCGTTGTATTTTACAATGACCAGCCTCACCAGTGTTGGATTTGGGAACATCGCTCCGACTACAGATGGGGAGAAGATCTTTGCTGTTGCTATGATGATGATTGGCTGTAAGTATTAGAGATTCTGTCTCTCATACACACAATGCCAAGTAGCTGCGTGTCATGAATACTGATATCATAAGAACATCTGGAATTGTGTCAAATGTTATTACGCAGCTTAAAATATTTTTGTGGCAGTATAGGTATTACTTTCTTACTGGTTAGTTTGAAAATCACAAATGGGAGTATTGTGACTAGCAAAAATTCAGTCATTTTGGAAGCAATATTCTGTCAATATCCTTTAATTATTATCTTGTAAGTAAACCTTAAAATGTGTAAAGCCTGAAATATTAAAAATTAATGCACCACAGTGGGCGCAGACAACCTTTGTGCCTCTATTTGGTATGCAGCAAAATCTTTTGTATGTCTGAGAGCTGTATATATTGGACGAGTGGGTGGGTGAGTGGGAGGAGGTCCAGGAGCATCTCATAAGGGAGAGAGAACAGTAGCTCTCTAGAGACCATACACTCCGCTGTGAACTGAACATACAGTCAGATCCTAAAGCAACTGGGATGATGCTGGCCTTGGGCACCTCTGGCTCACATTTCCTTGTCACGTCACAAGGGATTTATATTGCCAAGCTGTCCAGCTTTTGGCCATGTTGTCACTTCAATGCAGGATCTGCACTCGAAGTGCCTTGGTTGCTACTTGGAGTTAAGAACCATACAGTGGCCACCATTAAACTAGGTCATGTTTTTTTAGATAAGGGTGGAATTTGTATCAAAATAAGGAAAAAAAAAAATTCTACTTTGTACACGGAAGAGCATATCATTGTATGGAGAAAGAGAGAAGCTTCTGTATGGTAATATTACATCTAGAGGAAAAAAAAGTCAATCCCTGCTAAGCAGAAAATTAAAACCAAATATATAATGAAACTCAATTAGCAGCACAGTGCCTGTTATGGTAGAAATGTGAAGCTTAGATTCTGATGTGTCATTTTGCAGCAATACTGAAATCATGTACTGAGATTACTTGTGGAGTGTTAAGCAGGCTGAAGGTTAGTGAGAAGTATAAAGGCAAGCATTCTTGATTGTGTAGGGATTGGGATATTTTAGCTATAAAAATTGTTAATTTTGTTCTTCTAGCTTTTTCCACTACTAAGAGTCCCATCATCCTAATAAAACACCCGTGTAGCAGATGGGAAATTTATATAAAATTTGGAGAAAATTATGTGGCTTCCTCATGAGAAGGTACATTAGACAATGTAGCAGTGTAGTACAAAACAGGCTTCCAAACATATTTCCTGATTAAGGTACCTGTTTAAAGGGAAATATCCTGACCTTTGGCTTATTGTTCATTGAGTTATGCTTATGATACTAGCTAGACAAGAATAGCTAGTATTATTCAGTATTGTTATTTAGTACTATGAATACTGAATGAACATAACCTTCATAAAATCAAGAATGTACATGGAAATATTTTGGAGTTGTACCTGCTCCAAACTATTCATATGAAAATGTGGTGGAAAGAAACTGAATTTGTGCAAGATAAATGCTGATAGATATCTGCTCTGAATTCTAAAATGAACTTTAATTTCAGCAAGTTGTAAAAATAGCATTCTGGCAATTTTAAATCTCATGAATGCAATCACATTTCAGGGAAATGCTTTTGTTTGGATTTGGTTTTACGGAACCTTACATTTCTAACCCTATAATTGTCTGTGTATCTGAGCACCTTTATCCTGTGAACAACTGCTTGGAAACCGTTAGAACTATTCACAATATGTGTTTGCATGAATGGCAACTAAGTAATCCAATCTTTGAGTTTACCCCTCTGGATTTTGTAGGGTCTTGATTGCTTTTAATACACTGAAGTTTTGAGCTGTGGTCATTTCTTAGGATGGGAGGAACAAAATTGGTTTGTTTTGTTTGCAGCTATTTAGAGCTTAATTGTTGGTAGACATTCTTCCACTATAAAATTTTATGTTAAAATAACACTATTTTGCCTGTAGAATTAAGCTCTCAAACATTGATCTGAGCTTGAACTAGGGCTATTTAATAAGAATTTCATCTGATCTGTTGGGAACCTGAAAGGTACGTAGCAAATATATCAGGGATAGATGTAGGGGAGAGAAAAGAAGTTTCCTGGCTAAAGGAATGTCACTCAGAAAAATTAATATTTGTCCCTGACCAAGTAACATGTTTGTTAGGAGCTGAGCTCCTCACTTACAACACAGTTGGTGGTTACATGTTCCTGTTATGGTCCTCATTTTGCAGATGTCAGATCACATAGATTTGCACATGGGATGGGTAGGGGCTGTGGATGTCCAAAGCATCAGAAATAAATGATTTCAAATCAATTCTGCTAATGTGTTACTTTCCACTAATAAAAGGAAAAAGTGTATGATTTCTCGTTTATACTTTGCTATTAACACTGCATTTATTTCAGCACCTATCTACTGATGCATTCTCAAAAGCTACTGCTGTATTTTAGTAGCACAGGGAATGCCATTTTCTTTCCATGAAGGGTGCAGAGAGAGTTAATTGTTTGACTGTCTAAAACTCCAACTGAAGATCAGTGGGATTTGCTGAGTCCAACCTCAAATGTATCTCTCCACTAAATTCTTCTCTGCTAGAGGATAAGTCTCTAAAAACTGTGTGAATTTATCTTGTTTTTAAAGTGGCTAAGTATAGTCTGGGCAAAAATACATACCTGTATATTTAAATAGTCTAGTGAAACAAGTAAAGTAATTTTACAACCTTTCTGTACGAAATAGGAACAACGCTGTCACTTTTTGTTTGAGGATGTTACCGTTTTTGTTTAGTTGAGTAAGACAGTATGTTAACAAGATTGGTTTTGAGATGCCAAAACTGCCACTATAGTGTCATCAAAAAAAAAGGAGTATTTGGGGACAAATGTATAACAGCCAGCATTAATATTTCAAAGTGATTCCAGCAAAATTTTACTTTAAATAGGCTGGAAATTTTTAATAGGAGGGTAATTCTTTTTCCCCTTGGGCGAATTAACCTCCTGTGAATAAATAGTAAAACTTCCATTAGCCTGATGGGGACAGATTTAGATGAGCAGAAAGAAAATTAGAATGTTTCCTTCTCCTTGTGTGTTTTATCCTCTGCTCTTTTTGAATAGCAGTAAGCGCTGTGTCAAAGAACTAGTGGCTTGTAAAGCAACACTGTGGCCAGCTAAGCTTACAGTCAGTTTTACTAGCAAGATCACCTTTGAAATTTTGATCTTCTCTGTATTTGTGAAAGAAACTGAATTTTCTTGAAATGGAGATGGTGGTCAACATGTCTGAAAATGTCTGCTGCCCCCACCTTCCTTGCATGGGCTGTATGTGTAGCTACCCTACAGAAAGTTAGGGTGCAGGTACCACTTCGGTGCACGTTAAGCCCTTGCCTCCCACTGGTGGCTGACCGAGAAACTACAACAGTGTGGTGCTTGCTTGTTCCTGCATCCAGTTTAGAGTTACAGCACTGCCTTTGCACTCTTCCTCTGATTTTTGGTGTCAGTGGTCTTGACTTCAGTTTGCTCCATGAGCTACGCCACCATGGTTTGGTAGGGGCACTCAAGAACTGCTTCCCTGGAGCGCAGATGTTGGCATCAAGTGGAGGGAAAGGAAGAATTTACTTTTAGAAGTGCGAACTCATCCTACTCAGTGAACTTAAGAATAAATAATTTATATATATACATGCATACATACATATGTACATAGCATATGTGTATATATACACAGAGAGAAGGCACATGTATTATGATGTTTAAAAGAAGAAAAAGACAGCATATTTTTTTTCCTCCATGTTTGATATTCTAGACTTATTTTTGACAGAATGGATTTGATTGTGCAAAGTTCTTGTATCTCTGGGGAAGGCTGGACATGGTGTGTGCTACCCTGAGGAGCATTGCCAGGTGGCGCAGTTCTGCAAGGCTTTCTGGTTCTTATTTCTAGCAAACTTAGGTTTTAGTTTTGGTTTTGTTTACTTGATTTACTGGCCGAGTATCTGGAATAGTTTTGGGGGAGGAAAGTTGTGAATACCAGCAACACTTTTTTCTTTGATCTTGGAGTGTTGAGCCTCTCTGTTTCAGGAGAGGAGTTACTGTGTAAACGAGTGATTTTAAGGCACGTATTGCTGTCTTCTGCACTGGCAAACTGACTGAAAGGCTTGTGGTACTGTCAGCGCAAGACTATGGTGACATCCAAACAGGACATTTGTGTCAGAAGGGCTTGGAATATTACAGGTATTTGAAAGCATAAGCAGTTTTTAACTAGTGTCCTTCCATATGTGTAGTATGCTTATGCATAGAGATGGAATTAATACTCTGTATTATGTTCCATCTTCCATAAGACAAAATTTGGTTTTCTCTGCTGCTCAGCCACTGATACATCCCCTTCTTCTCACTGCTTACTCCCTCTGTAAAGCCGATCCTGTGACAGAAAGACATGTGTTACACTAACGTTTTGTAAATCCATTGACCACTAGTAATAGTACTTTGTTATAATGTCAGATAGCTGTTTAAAAAAGTAGGTAAGACCACTTCCATTTTCTTTTTTATTCAGTCTTTCATTATGGTAAATAATAAATCCAGGTAACTTTTAATTAAAAATTTAGAGATATGTTAGTGAAGCTACCTGGACCGGTGGGAATTTTGGCTGACTTGAGTGCAAATGTTGGCCTAGTAAGAAGTTTAAGGTGTGTGAGCTTGTAGAGGGAAGGGTGGGTATATCATGTTAGCAGTGTGTAGACACTGGGAAGGGCTGATGGAAGTGAATAAGCTGCGTGTGGGTATTGAGCCTGTGGGGCTGGCTGGATTGGTTGGTTTTACACTTGGGGCAAAGTATAAGAAAGCATGGCTTGGTCTCAGTGGCTCTGGTCTCTGCTTTGGGGCCCTCTTCTGCAGGGAGGCATTCTTGTGCTTTCAAATGCAATGGCTGCACATGCTGTCCTACTGATTTCATTGTGGCTGCAGTTTTCAGGGAGAAAGTGTTTTTACTGTTGGTTATTTTGACAAGAGTAGGTGGAACCCCTAATGAGATTTATGAGGGACTGCAGCAT